TTTTTAATATACGTTTATTGTAACAAATATTTCGACTTCTATCGGGTCATTTTCAGTGTTATTAATTTAAAATTCTATAACCGCCACTCATAATTACGCAAAAACAGACCGTTGGACGCATATTTAGAAGTTTGTGTAACATGTTCTTTCTTTGATTGTTCTATTAGGCCTTGTGTACAATGTACATTCTTGTTATATGATTTGAAAAGTAATAAACAATGTAGATACGAGATTACACACTCCGTTAATCTAACAATTAACGTAACAATTAGTGATTAATTGATGAATAATTGATAATTACAAGCGAAGAATTAGACGTTAATTACCATATATGCGTGTCACTAGTGAACTCCCGATATTATATGACAAGTAAGTTCTGTAATAGTATTCTGTTCTAGTAGGGATAGATTAGGAAAGGGAAATAGATATAAGAGAGAGAATCAAGAAACAAACAAAGAGAAACAATGAAGGAGAAAGAGACTATAGAATATTTTGATAAGAATCCGATAGAGACTCTATCATTTGTCTGTTTAACTTTATTTTTTGTCTCTTTATATGGATCATTTCGGAAATCAATCTTTTATTGTAAGAAAGTTCTGTCCAAAATTTTTATGTCTTTCCAATTAAAACATTTATAAACAACATTTAGATTAGATAATGGTTCTAATTTATCCTTTTCTTTTGTTATGAAATTTTTAAAAATATTCAGGATGGAATTTGCTAATTTGCAGTTAAACATATTAGTATAGATAAAAAAAAACTTTTTGAAATAGACTTTATGATGGTATTGTAAAATATTTTTCTTTAATATGAATATTTTGTGTTAAATTATTATTCTGCCTGATATTTTAATCTATTCTCAATAGTGGAAAAGATAAAGGAAAGAGGATAACCATTCTTTAAAAAAATGTATAGCGTCTATTAAGTTTTTTCATAAAAATGGATGAGATAACATAATAATTCTATGAAACCAATAATGACGTCTTTTTTATAAGAAGGATATGTAAATGGAAATTAAGGAATCTACCAGAACAAATAGCTTTTTTGTGTCTGTCAAAAATAATTTTCTGATTTTCTATCATACAATGATGATAGTGTCCAAAAAATTTAATAATTGATTAAAGATTTTTAATCTTAATAAATTCGTTTCGCGAATTTATAATATTTTATGTATATAATATGATATTATAATCAATATATCAAACAACACCATGTATAGCGCGTGATACTCTGAGTAAAATTCTTTTTTAATTATTAAAGGTTATTCGCATCGCTAGCTCCAACATGCTCAAATATGCTCCTACTCACTCTATCAAGTACGTTGGGATGAGTAAGAGCTATGGTAGGAATATATTACAACATGTTGGAGCATGCGATGCGAATAAATCTACTTAAATCTACTTAAACATTAAAGGTACCCGTAACAACCAAACAACATTAAACACTTCGTTTTCGCATCCGAGTGTAATGCTTACTTTAAATATGGCTCTAACTGTTAGAGCATTCATAAAAAAATCACAAACGATTGATTATTCGATGACTGAAAATCACACGAAGCTTTAAAACACGCATTATTGAGGCGCTGTATGAACTGTATTCATTGCATCCATAACCAAGAAAGTCAGTCAGCTACTTGCCGCACGTAACACATGTTGTGTTATTGTGTGCGGACTTACACACGTGTTTGAT